GGATCTCGGACTACGAGAAGCGCCTCTACGGCGCCGAGGACGACGAGCCACCCGCGGACGAGGAGGAGGCCGTCGTCGCCGACCCGTTCTCGTGGATCGAGACGGCGCCGTTGGCGGTCCGCCTGGGCCTCGCCGACGACCGCGACTCGGGCTACTGCATCTGCGGCGGCCTCGACGACGGCGAGATGATCATGTGCTCCAACGGATTTTGCAAGACGGGCCGCGGCCTCTTCCACCTCGAGTGCGTCGGCCTCGAGGGCCAGGTCGACACGTGGTACTGTCCGACGTGTCAGCAGGTCGTGCACCACGCGCTCTCATCCAAGGAAGCCGAAGAAAAGGAATTGGACGAGGCGAGGCGCGACGCCCTCCGCGAATTTGCGGATGTTTTTGACCCATGGCTTCAGCAACCGCGTCTGCCAGCGCCAGATCTCGAGGGCGCCGAGCGTTACATCAAACGCTTGTCGGAGAGCACGGCGCGGGAGTCCGTCATCGATGCATACCGCGCCGCGCTCGCCCGCTACAAGCGGCTGGTGGCCGACGCCGTCGCCAAGCTCCAGCGCGACGACGCCGTCGGCGAGGCCGACGACCTCGACGACGGCGACGACCTCGACGACGGCGACGACCTCGACGACGGCGACGACCTCGGCGACGGCGACGGCTCCGACGACGACTCCGGCTCCGACGACGCCGACTCGTCGCCGTCGTTCGGCGCGTTCGACAAGCGCTCGCCGTCGCCGGACGGCGCGCGCGCGATCGACCTGGAGGGGCCGTCGAGCACGTCTTCGAACGAGCGCGCGCCTTCGCCGGCGCCGGCGCCGCCGGCGCCGTTCCCGCGGGGGAGCCCCGCGTCCGGCGCCGACGGCTCGCGCACGTCGTCGGAGGACGACGCGCCCGCGCACGCGCTCGAGTCCGCGCCCGCGTCCGCGCGCCTCGACTCGGTCCTGTCGTTCCCGTTCGTGGTGCCGCGCGGCGGCGACGATCTGGGCGCCTTCGGCGGCTCCGACCTCCCCGTGTCGCCCGCTTCTTCCTCGCCCGCACCGCCCGCCCAGGAGCTACGCTCTTCGAGTCCTTCTTCGGTGCGGCGACTCGCGCAGCGCGCCTCGAAGCTCCGGTTGAAGCGGAAAGCCCTCGAGGCGGCGCGGACGCACGAAGCCCGCGACGCCCGCGACCGCAGGAGAGCGCGCCGGGGCGGGTAAGTGCGGCGCCCCCACAACTTCCCGTGATCGGGTCGCTCCGGCTCGCGCCGGATCCGATGAGTCGCCGCCGCGGCGGCCGGGATCCCGGTGGCCGCGGCCGGGCGCCGGCCCTGTCCCGGACAAGGACGTCGTGGCCACCCGCTGCGGCGCGCCGCCCCATCTGGGGACGGCGAGCCTTCCATTCGCGCACGCCGACCGCGCGAGGGCTCGCGTGACGGATACCGACCTCGTACTTGCTCTGCTCTCCGCACGGAGTCGAGCTCTCCGCACGGCCTGCCGCGTGATGGTCCTATCGCGCCGCGAGAAGAAGGCACGCCGCACTTCGCGCAAGCTCCGACTCAAGCGCCTCAAAAACACCAGCCGGACTCGGCACGCGCAGCAGCAGGACGACGGCGAGGAGTCGCCGACAGTCGGCGATGCGCCGCGCGGCGGGCAGTCGGACGACGACGACGCGGCCATGGCCGCGGCCGCGGAGCTCCACGGCGAGGACGGCTCGCGCGCGGCGTCGGAGGACGACGGGGTCGCGAGCGGCACCGAGTCGGGCGAGGACGCCGCGCCCGCGGACGGCGGCGCGGCGGACCGCCGCGCGGCGCGGCGACTTGGATCCGGCCCTCAGGCCACGCCTATGGCCACGCCCAGGGGCAAAGAACAATTCCAACGGTACTGCGAAAACACGATAAACCTGAGGACCAATCGGCCCGGCGATTTCTTCTTCGCAATCAAGGTGCCGATGAGCGCGCGCTCGATCAATCAAAGAAGGAAAGATGACGAGGATACCCATGAATATGTCTCCGAGTTCATCCACCCGCACCTCGTGGACCTGGCGGAGGAGCTGGCGGCCGCGTACCCGGCCTACGCCGCGTTCATCTTTGCCGCCGTGCGCTCGGGGACGTGGCACCCTCCCAAGGTCTTCAGCAAACACGACGGGACGCCCACGCGCCTGGTCCCTGACCACATCGAGGTGGCCATCGACGAGTCCAGCTCCTGGTGGGTCGTCCTGGGGCTCCTCGAGGACGAGGTCAATTTTGCCATCGGGAAGCTTGTGAGAGAGCTGTATCAGGGGGGTCGCCTCTTCGACTAAGCATCTAGACTATATTCGTGTCAGGGGCGTGACCTTGAAGGTCGTCGGCGGGAGCCGCGGTTAACAGCACAGCTCGCGTTTCGGCGAGCTTCACTAAAGCCTCAGGATCCTCAGGAGCGCGTCAGTCGCATCGAACCTCGTGGAAACCCCGGGCCGGCCGACCTCGGGACACCCGCCGCGCGCCCAAAACCACACCCACAACGATGTCGAGCGGCAAGCGAGTCTGTGTCATCGGCGGCGGAACCTCCGGCCTCGCCGGCATGGTCCAGCTCATCAACGAGGGCATCGAGGTGCGCTTCTTCGCCGGCTTTCGCCGCATTTCTCCACATCCGTAGGTCGTCTGCTTCGAGAAGGAGGCGCGCGTCGGCGGCATCTTCAACTGGGGCGAGGACAAGAACGGCGTCTACGACAGCGTGATCCTGACGATCTCGTCCATGCTCATGGCCTTCAGCGACTTCCCGTCGGACGACGCCAAGTACTGGACGCACGAGGAGTACCTCACGTACCTCCAGGACTACTGCAAGAAGTACGAGCTCGACAAGCACATCGTCTTCAACACGACGGTGACCAAGGTCGAGCTCCGGGCCGACAAGAAGACGTGGCTCGTCGAGGCTACGTCGACGGACGGCACGAAGCACAGCGGCGTCTACGACAGTGTCGGCGCATAGGTGCCTACGTAGGCGCCTACGAGGCTACGTAGCCTCGGCTCGAGCCTCTGGAGCCTACGTAGGCGCCGCTTTTGAGGGGCTACGTAGGCGCCTACGCGCCTACGTAGCCTCGACCGGAACCTACGGACCTATGACCTACGCGCCCACGCAGGTCTACGACGGCGTCTGCGTCGCGTCGGGCAACTTCCAGACGGCCAAGGTGCCGACCTTCCCGGGCATCGACGGCTTCAAGGGCGAGCTCGTGCACGCCTCCGAGTACAAGCGGCCGGACCAGTTCGAGGGCAAGAACGTCGTCGTCATCGGCCTCGGCGAGAGCGGCGCGGACCTCGCGCGCGAGGTCGCGTCCGTCGCGAAGAACGCCTACGCCTGCGTGCGGAGCCTGCCGGCGATCATCCCGCGCCTGCCGAACTACAAGGACCCGACGGACGCCTTCACCTTCCGCGCGCACCACTTCGCGTACACGACGGCCGTGTCCGAGCGGTTCGGCGTCTGCTACGACCCGCGCCTCGAGAAGAAGCTCTGGGGCTGCGGCAAGCTCTCGAGCATCGCCATCAACGCGGTCTGCTCGGGCATGGTCTTCGGCATGTTCCTCAAGCTCAAGATCTACGACGGCGTCGTCACGCGGCTCAAGCACCTCATCACGGGCGACTACAGCGCGGGCCCCAACTCCATCGGCAACGAGGGCGAGGCGCGGAAGAACAACTCCATGATCGACGTCAAGGCCGAGGCCGACGAGGCCATCGAGGAGCACTTCGAGGCCTGGCACCGCATCAACGCGGGCAACTACTTCGGCGGCGTGCTCCGCCACCCGCTCAAGTTCCTCACGAAGAACGCGTCGTTCATGCCCGCGATCGTCGACGGCAGCCTCCAGCTCAAGGCGTCGGGCCTCGAGAAGATCAACGCCACCTCCGTGACCTTCGGGAGCGGCGAGACCGTCGACTGCGACGCCATCGTCTTCTGCACGGGCTACAAGGACCAGTTCCAGTTCTTCACGGACCCGAAGCTCCGGGTCTTCCCCGACGGCAACGTGCGCAACATGTACCGCCACGCCATCCGCCTCGACGCGCCGAACCTCGCCTTCATCGGCTGGGTGCGCCCGACGTCCGGCGGCGTGCCCGCCTGCTCCGAGATGATCGCGCGCTACTACGCGGCGCTCGTCGCCGGGCGCTGCACGCTCCCCGACGACGTCGTCGAGCAGACCGCGCGCATGCGCAAGTTCGAGGAGGCGGCCTTCGCCTTCACGCCGGACATCAAGACCCTTGTGCTCAGCCAGTCCCAGTACTTCGACTCCATCGCGCTCGACCTCGGCTGCTCGATCAACCCCTGGCGCCACATCCTCGACCCCGTCTTCCTCTACAAGATGTACGTCGGCCCCTTCCTGCCCCAGGCCTACCGCCTGACGGGGCCCCACGCGCGGCCCAAGGAGGCCTACGCCTACATCAAGCGCCAGCACGGCGGCATGTTCCAGAACTACCTCCCCGAGAGCAAGTTCACGTCGTTCATGCCCTTCGCGGGCCTCATGATGGTCCTCGACAACCTCGTCTACTCCATCTTCGGCAAGTTCGTCCTCCTCCCCTTCATGGCCGACAACATGCCCAAGGAGATCACGGACAACGACAAGAACTACACCTACGGCTTCGACATCAAGCGCCGCCACGCGCACCTCGCAGAGCTCCTCGGCAAGGGCGCCAAGGCCATGTAGACACCCCCCCCTCCCCGTTACGATAAGCTGATTCATACCGTTAGAGGGGGGGGCGGGGTCTAATGCCGGAAGGTCCGCGGCACGACGATGAAGCCGACGGCGGCGATGACGATGTAGATCGTGATGAGCCACGTGAAGTTGGCGCCCATGTGGCCGTTGGAGTAGTGGAAGTAGTCGAGGGTCTCCTGGGGCTTGTGGGAGCCGTGGCGGCCCTGGAAGCTCTGGGTGACGACGATCTCGTAGCAGTAGTGGAGCGGGTTGAGGTAGTAGAGCCACATCCAGTAGACCTTGATCTGGGGCCGTATGAGCATCGTGCCGCCCGTGAGCGTGAGGAGCGTGATGATGGGCTCGGCGGTCTGGGCCGCGGCGACGGCGTCGGGCATGACGAGGCCCGCGAGGCTCGCGAGGCTCGCGTAGGACGCGGCCGTGATCGACGTCGCGAGCGCGGTGTAGAAGAGGCGGCTGGGCTCGTTGAGCGGCAGCCCCATGAGCGGCCACCAGATGAAGGGCGTCACGAAGGCGACGCAGGCCGAGCTCACGGAGGCCAGCGTGAGGCGCGACGCCCAGTAGGCGAACGCGCCGTAGGACCCGTTCTTGTACTCGCGGACGATGAGCGCCTTCTCGAAGGGAATGTTGAGCAGGAAGGCGTTGAAGGCGATCATGCAGGCGCCCATGACGCCGAAGCAGACGCCCGTGGCCAGGTAGAGGTTCGCCGGCGAGAAGTTGAGGTAGATGAGGCCCGTGACGACGGACTGCATGAGCGACGGCATGACGTGCTCGACGGACTGGTCCTCGTCCTTGAGGTAGGACAGCGTGCAGCGCTTGAGGAGGATCCAGTACTGGGTCAGGAAGGGCGTCGGGTAGCGGCCGAGGTACTTGGCCAGGAGCTCGTCCCCCGGCGCGAGCGCCTCGACGGGCGACGGCGCCGACGCGTCCGCGAGCCCGGCCAGCGTCCGCGTCTGCGCGGCCTTGCCCATGGCGCAGCTCTTCCAGAGGTCCGTCCACATCGTGTCGCCGTCCTCCTGGAGCCGGTACATGGCGAAGTCGATGGGGTTCTCGTTGCCCGGGCACGGGTGGCCGCCGCCCGCGAAGAACGGCGCGAGCTGCGCGGGCTGCTCGCAGAACGCGAGGCGGCCCTGGACGAGGATCGTGAGCTGGTCGAAGCGCGAGATGAGCTCCCAGGTCGGCTGGTGGATCGTGCAGACCATGGTCCGCCCCGTGACCTTGGCCAGGGACATGACGACGTCCGCGATGCTCAGCGCCGCCGCGGCGTCGAGGCCCGTCGTCGGCTCGTCGAGGCACATGACGGAGCAGTTCGCCAGGAGGTCCATGCCGATGGACACGCGCTTCTTCTGGCCGCCGCTGATGCCCGGCTTCTCCGTGGACCCGACGACGACGTCGGCCTTGGCCTGGAGCCCGAGCTGCGCGATGACCTCGTCGGCGCGCGCGCGCTTCTCGCCCTGCGTCATGTCGCCCGCGCAGCGCAGCTCCGCCGTGAAGTAGAGGATGTCGCGCACCGTGAGGTCCGCGAGGAGGATGTCCTCCTGGGGCGTCACGGTCGTGAAGTACTTGAAGTCGGCCTTGGGCAGCTCGCGGCCGTTGACCGTGACGACGCCCTCGACGAGGTCGTTCTCGAGCGTGCGGCCCGTGAGCACGTCGATGAGCGTCGTCTTGCCCGCGCCCGAGGGCCCCATGAGGGCCGTCGTCGTCTTCGCCTCGAAGCTCACGGAGACGTCGTGGAGCGTCGCCTTCTTGTCCGCCGAGTGGACGTCGCGCCAGAGCGTGATCGCGTGCGCGCGCAGGCTCACGGGCTTCGCGTCGAGGCGCGACGCGCAGAGCTTGGGCTCCTCCGTGGACCCGTAGTCGCCGCCGCCGGGCTCCTCGAGGAGGGCCTCCGTGAGCGGCGACGCCGCCGCGGCCTTCTCGACCTGCTTCTCCTCGGGCACGGGCGTCGCCGTCGCCGTCGCGGGCTTGGGCGCCGCCGCGGCGCCGCCGCCGCCGTCGTCGGCCTTGTTGAGGCGCGCCGTCGTCACGACGAAGCCCGCGCAGAAGAGGAGGGCGAAGAGGAGGATCATCATGGGGATGCACGAGTCCGCGTTGCCCTTGCTGATGTCGAAGAAGTCGTTCGACGTGAGGTACGTGTCCGCCTTGTCGCTCGTGTGCGCGAAGACCTCGACCATGAGGTACTTGACGGACCACGTGAGCAGGTTGATGTACTTGGCGGGGAGCAGGTAGGCCGGGAACTGGTTCTGGGGCACGAGCACCTGGCACGTCAGGAGCTGGAAGACGAGCGACGGCGGCACGATCTTGATCGCCGCGAGCGCGCTCGGCGACGAGATGCCGATGATCAGCCCCAGGAGCATGCAGCAGCTCATGAGGAGCGTCGTCATGACGAAGAACTTGAAGGGGATCATCGCGTTCTTGAACGTGAACGACAGGCAGGGGTAGACGATGGCGCACGCGAGGAACGAGATGATGGCGCCGTTGATGCACGCGAGCGTCGCGCGCGCGAGCCAGTACGGCGCCGTCGAGAAGACGCCGTTGCGGTAGTCGCGCAGGACCACGGCCCGCTCCAGGGGCATGACGACGCAGAGGGGCGTCGACGCCGCCTGGTAGATGAACATGACGAAGGTGATGATCGCGAGCTCGCGCGACACCGAGTCGTGGAGGCTGAAGTAGGCCGACGCGTACATGATGGTCGAGAAGACGGTCATGCCCCAGACCAGGGGGCCCTGCGACGGGTCGCAGACCCAGATGTGGACGCTCCGGAGCAGGAGGAGCCGGTACTGCGTCATGAACGAGATGGGGTAGTCCTGCTCGCTGTCCTCGCGCTCGTCGTCCTCGAACGGCACGGTCTCCGCCGGCGCGGGCTTCGACGCCGCCTTCCATTTCGCGTGCCAGCCGTCCGTGTCGCCCCGGGCGAGGACGTACAGGGCGTGGTCCGCCGGGTTCTCCGACTCGGGGCACGGCGCGCCGCCGTCCGCGAAGAACGCGGGCAGGCCGGGCACGGGGCCGTCGTAGATCTGCTTGCCGCCCGCGCCGAGGAGCACGAGGGGGTCGAAGAGGCAGACGATGGACCACGACGGCTGGTGGATCGTGCAGATCACCGTGCGGCCCTGGTCCGTCGCCGCGTCGTGGAGGAGCTTGACGAGCGTCATCGCGCTCGGCGAGTCGAGGCCCGACGTCGGCTCGTCCATGAGCATGACGGGCCGGAACGACAGGAACTCGATGGCCGCGCTCAGGCGCCGCTTCTGGCCGCCGCTGATGGAGCCCTTGGTCGTGTGGTCCCCGACGATGCCGTTCTCGACGTGCTTGAGGTTGAGCTTCGAGAGGATGACGTCGACGCGCTCCGTCTTCGCCTCGCGGCTCCACTTCTCGGGGCACCGGAGGAAGCTGCTGTAGTAGAGGGTCTGCTTGACGGTCAGCGACGGATAGAGCACGTCCTCCTGGGGCATGTAGCTCATGAGCAGGCGGAGCTTCTTCGGCGTCGTCGGCGCGCCGTTCACGAGGACGCCGCCCTTGAGGATCTTCCCGCCCGCGCGGCCGCTGATGACGTTCATGAGGGTCGTCTTGCCCGCGCCCGAGGGCCCCATGAGGGCCGTCAGATGCCGCGGCTGGAAGACGACGGACACCTCCTCGAGGAGCACCTTCTCGCCGACGGCGTACTGCATGCCGGACACTTCGAGGCGCGTCTCCGGAATGAGGCCCTCCTCCTCCGGCGACTCCTCGTCGACCAGCGCATACTTGCCCATCGTCGACGGACGATCGCGAGCGCCGCTGCCGATGACCTGGGTCGACGACGAGAGTGGCTGGGCTGCCCGATTTCTTTCGGTCCTGAACTCTCAAGCTTGACGTCACGGGCTTGACGTCACGTTTCGTGCTATGAGATTTCTGAAGATACATATGGCCGGGGTTAAAATGGTACGGGAAAACGCACTCCACGCCCTCGCCACAGTAAAAGCACATTACCGGCCGACGGCGCGGCCTTGCGCTTGACGAGGCGCTCGCCGCGCTTCTTGAAGGGCCGCCGCCGCGGGCCCTGCGCCGCGGACGGCGGCGGCCGCGGCGCCGCGGGCGCGGGCGCGCGGGCCCGGGCGACGAAGGCCGCCGCCGCCGCGACGGGCCGGGGCGCCGCCGCGTCGACGCGGGGCAGGACCGGCGCCGGCGCCGGCTCGGGTGCCCGCTCCCGCGGCGGCTCCGGCGCCGCGAAGTCGCAGGCCTCGCACCAGAGGAGGTGGAGCTCGTTGGACGCGCCGAGCTTGAAGACGAGGTCGAGGCCCGCGGGCCGCGCGCCCGCGGCCCGCTCGAGCGCGTCGACGGCCGCGGCCGTCGCCCGGCGGAGCGCGTCGACGAGCCACGGCGTGTCCACCGGCTCGGGCCGCTCGGGCACCGCGCGGCGCACGCGGACCTCGGGCGCCGCCCGGCGCGCGCAGGCGAAGGCCTCGCCCGTCTCGCGCCAGGACGCGGCGAGGTGGTGGTCGAGGCCGCCCCGCGGCGGCACCCACCGTTGCACGACGCGGCGCTCGCCGGCCGGCGGCCGCGGGCCCCGGACGCGGCGCTGGAGCGCCTCGGCGTCGAGGGCGACGGCGGCGCCGACGAGGCCGCCGGCGCCGTCGGGGGCCCAGGACACCTCGACGGCCGTCGGCGGCGCGGGGCCCGCGGCGGCCGCCGCGCGCGGCCGCCGCCGCGCGCTCGCGGGCCGCTGGCCGTGGTTGATGCTCGCGAGGGGCGCCGCGGCGGGGAGGTCGACGCGGTGCGCGGGGATGCGGTGCGTCGCCCGGCGCTCGACGACGAGCGTCTCCGGCACGAGGCAGCGGTCGACGACCGCGCGGCGCCTCGCCGGCGGCGGCGCCGCGCCCCGCTCGTCGGCCGGGGCGGCGTCGCGGCGCAGCGCCGACGTCAGGTACGCCGGGTGGCGGGCCGCCGACGGCGGCGGGCCCGGCGCCGACGGCCGCCGCGGCCGCGGCGCCGCGGCCGCCGCGGCCGGCGGCGACGCGGCGCGCGCCGCGGCGGCGACGGCGCGCCGCGCGAAGGCGCCGCAGAAGGCGCGCTTCGCCGCGCCGACGCGCGCGTCCACGTCGAGGCAGGGCCGCGGCGGCGCGTAGGCCGGGACCACCGTGGCCTGCGACGCCTCGGACGCCGCCGCCGACGCCACCGATGCCTGGGGATAGAGCACGGCGTTGGACTCCGGCTCCGCGCCAAAGTCCTCCTCCCCCGACGGCAGGTCGAAGTCCTCCTCCGACAGCGTGTACTCGAGCTCGACGTCGTCGTCGTCGTCGTCCATGATGCTGCCCAAGGGGTCGTCCATCGTGCCGCAACCGTCGGTCACTCTTAACTGCAATGTTGGCCTCTCAAGTAAGCGTCGCGAAAGCCGGGCCTCCGACCGGGTCTCCCGGAGCCCTCGATCCTCGGGTGCGCATCGACGAGTCCACCATTTACCCCCTAGTCGTCGTCGTCGAAGTCGTCGATGTCGTCGTCGGAGAAGCAGGCGCGGACGCCCGGAGCGTCGTCGTCGTCGCCCGCCGCCGCCGGCTGCCGGAGCGCCGGCGCGCCGCAGGCCGCGGCGAGGCGCGGCGGCGCGTGGAGGAAGTTCGGGTCCGCGCGCAGCCGCGCGCGCTTCGCCTGGAGGACGTCGTAGAGCTTGGGCTTGCGCACGGGCCGCCAGGCGCTCGGCGCCGGGTGCCGGTTCGACGCGGCGACGGACCGGCCGACGAGCGCGGCGGCGTAGTGCTCCGGGAAGACCGCGTCGCCCCTGCTCGTCGGATCGCTGTAGTCCCTGGCGTGGTTCGTCGAGTAGACGCGCGCCGTGTACAGGTCCGCGTCGCTGAGCGTCGCGAGGCCGTCGGCGAGGTCGGCCTCGTCGCCGTAGAAGTCGACGCAGTTGTACTGGACGAAGGCCGCCGTCGCGTCGACGTCCATCTTGGCGTTGAGGACCGTCGCGTCCGGCGGCCGCTCGAGGCGGCCGTCGGCGCCGCGGTTCGCCTTGCAGACGCGCGCCACGGCGTGGAGCGCGGAGACGGCGCCCTCGCCGCCGTGCGTCGCCGCGACGTCCGCCGTCGCGCCCCGGAGGTAGAGCTCGAGCGTCGCGATGGCCTTGCGGAGGTCGCCGCCGGCCGCGGCCGCGAGCGCGACGAGGGCCGCGTCGTCGACGCTCCGCCGCTCCGCGGCGGCGATCTTCCGCAGCCGCTCGGCGATCTTCAGCTCCGTGACGGCGTTGAACTCGACGAACGCCGCGCGCGGGTCCGCGGCGACGGCGTCGCCGACGAGCCGCTCCGCGAAGAGCCGCGCCTCGTTCTTCTCGGACACGTTCTCCGACACGAGCAGGATAGCTGGGCCGCCGCCGCGCACGACGCCCGCGAGCGCCGCCTCGAACTCCGCCTTCTGGTCGCCCCAGCCGCGCTCCGGCAGGTCGTCGAGCACGGCGACGCTCGGCCGGCCGTGGGCCTCGTGCGTCTTCGCGCCCGACCCGTCGAGCGCCGCGTAGCGGCCGCCGCGGAGGAACGCGGCCCACGACGCCATCTGCGACTCGAAGCGCGGCGGCGCGAAGTCCGTCGGCCGGTCGTCGAAGAGGCCCGGCCCGAAGCGGTCGCCGCCGGCGCCGTGGACGTCGCGCCAGCGCCGCGCGACGACGAGCTCCTCGGCGCAGAGCGCGTCGACCGTCGCGGACTTGCCCACGCCCGGCGGCCCGCTCAGCACCAGCAGGCGCTTCGCCGGCTCGCCGGGCTCGAGCCGCGCGCGGGACGTCGCCTTGCGCAGCCAGTCGCGCACCTTCGCCACCGTCGGACCGTAGACCTTGAGCTCCTTGGCCGTGCGCGGCGCGTAGCGCACCCAGAGCGGCTCCTCGGGGCCGGCGACGGCGCGGATCGACGCGTCCTTGCGCTTCCGGGACATGGCGCCGCTGCCGTCGAGAGCGCAGCGATGCGGTCGAGACGTGATGCTGGCACATTGATCTCCGACTCGACGAGTTGACTTCAACGTGAACTGCAACAAGGCGGTTGGGACAGTTTTCGCAAGCTCGAGACGCTGCCTCGAGGCGACGGACGCTGCTCGAACGAACGAGGCGTCGGACGCTGCCTCGAGGGACAAATTTTCGCACGCTCGTTCGAACGAATGGCGGCGGAGACGTCGACGTCGGAGCTGCTCATGCGCGCCCACGCGAAGTACGACCCCGGCGACCGGCCGTCGGTGCGGGACATGGCGACGATCTGGGCCCTCGTCGGCGTCGAGGTCGGGCGCCAGCTGATGAAGCGGCGGGGCGTGCGCCTCGAGGGCGTGGGCACGGTCGTGCTGACGTCGCGGGGCGTCGTGCTCCAGCGCGAGCGGCGCGCGTCAGAGGAGGCGCCGGGCGAGGGCGCGCGGCCCGGCGCGGCCCTGGGCCTCGCGGCCGTCGCGGCGGCCGCGGGCGCCGCGGGCGTCGAGCGCGCGTCCGCGACGCGCGGCGCCGTCGCCGAGACCGCGCGGCGCGTGCTCGCGGAGCTCGTGCGCTGCGGCGACCGGCGCCAGGTCGCGCGCCTCGCGCTGCGGCCCGTCGGGTGCCTCTACTCGCGCGCGGCGAGCCGCGAGGCCGACGAGGGCGTGGGCCTCGCCGTCGACGCGTCGTTCCGGGCGCGGACCGCGCGCGCGTGGGACGCGAACGTCCGCGCGGGCGCGCCGGCCTACGGCGGCGCCCGCCGGGGCTTCCGCGGCGACGACCGCGCGCTCAGCGACCGGCGGGCGACCGGCGCGCCGCCGGCCTACGAGACGCACCGGCGGGCCCTGAGGCCCAAGGCCGCGGCCGTCGGCGCCGGCGCCGCGGCCGCGGCCCTGCGGCGCCGCGCCGTGGCCGCGCACGGGCCCGACGGCCTCTGCGTGCTCGCGCGGTGCCTCCGGGCCGCCGCGGCCGCCGCCGGCGGCGTCGACGCCGGGGTCGTCGAACGCGCGCTCCGCGACGGCGGCGTCGACGCGACGGCCGCGGAGGCCGCCGCGGCCCTCGGCGACGCGCGCACCTGCCGCGCCGCGGAGAGGGCGTTCGCGGCGCCCGGCGCGCTGAGCGAGGAGCGCCGCGCGGTCATCGACGCCGCGTGGGCCGAGCTCGCGGCGCTCCACGCGCGCCGCGCGGACGCCGCGGTCCGGGGCGCGCGCCGCGACGGGTCCGCGGTCTCCGGCGACGCCGTGCCCCTCGCCCTCCTCAAAAAGCGCGTCGACGGCGACTGGCACGCGCACGTGCGCGGCGGCCTCGCGCCGGAGGACGCGGTCGTCGCGAAGCTCCTCGGCCACCTCGAGGTCGCGGAGCGATCGGGCGGCGCCGACGTGCCCCGCGCCGCGTGGCGCGCGTGCCTCGCGCGCCTCTCGGGCGCCTACGACGACGACGACGCCTTCGAGGCCGACGTCCGCGCCTGCTGGAAGCTCAAGGGCGACGCGCGGCCCCGGCGGCGCGCGGCCGAGGACGACTTCCCCGTCCCGCCGACGCGGACGGCGTGGGCGGCGGCGCCGCCGCGGGCCGCGCGGCCGCCGCGGGACGACGACGACGTCGCCGCCGCCGCCGCCGGCGGCGCCCGGGCCCGCGGCGCCGCGGACCCCGCGGGCGCCGGCGGCGCCTGGGCCTACGGCGCCGCGGACCCCGCGGGCGCCGGCGGCCTCGAGTCCGCGACCGCCGTCGCCGCCTTGGAAGAACTCCGGAAGCTCGTCTACGACCCCCCCTGCGGCGCGGGCGAGCTGCGGCGGCGCCTCGGCGCGTCGGCCGCCGGCGACGACGCGCTGGGCGAGGCCGATCTGGCCGCGCGCCTGCGGTCGCGGGCCGCGGCGCTCCGGTCGAAGCTCGGCGGCCGCGGCGCGCGGCGCCTCGCGGCGGCCGCCGTCGACGCCGCGGGCCGCGGCGGCGCGGTGGCGCCCGCGGCGCTGGGGCGCGCGCTCGCGGCCTTCTTCGGCGGG